CATGGGTCTCACGGCTGATTGAAATCAGGTGGTATTTATATATACTACTATCATTTGACGAGTAATGAAAGCAAATTTTATCACCATTCGACCAAAAATAAATTCGATCACAAGTGTGCTCCAGCGACCAAATAAAATACTAGTCACAAACGTACAAGTTAATATAATACTGTTGGTTACAAAAAGTCACACGCGCTGTACATATATATGCTACCAACGTGGATAGATAGAGCCATATATATAGGGCATGGAGGTGATCAAAGTTATTTCACCGGATCAATTTGGAGCGGTGGGAGTACTATGGCCCCGTTCGCTTCGCTAAAAAAATAAGCCGAAACACTGTTCCGGCTGATTTGTTAGGAGAGAAAAACACAATTCCAACTGAAAAAATAAGCTGAAAAGTATGGATTATAAGACAAGCGAACATGGCCTATTTAGGAGACCATGCATGCAAGGACCAAACAAAAAAAATGAGCGGACCAAAAAAAAAGGACAAAATTTTTATCTTTTTATTATTAATTAGGTATACATATGTACAGGCATAGAGTTAGTTTGAAGCCATGAAATTAAGTACTGCTCTGTCTGTTCAAAATTATAAGACCTCTCAGCTTTTTTAGATACACAGTTTTTACTATGCACTTAGATATACACCGTACGTAGATAAATATCAAAAGTAACATATATAGAAAAATCAAAATATCTAATAATTTAGAAAGGAGGGAGTACATTTAGAATCATTCTAGGGGCTATGACTCTTTTTAGTCCTAATTAAGCTCCACCACTGTACTTTAGATCAGCAGAATCATATTCCCGTTAAGTCCAATGAGCTGGTCCGCATCTAAATTAGTTTACTAGCGACACATCAGAGGGAGCAGAGTTTTTTTTTTCTCTTGTGTGCAACTTCCTGGACTCTGCGTGACACACACACACGTTAATCAAGCAATTAATGGAAAGCTCACCTTTTCTCTTGTCGTCAATTGGAAAAGTTGTCTGCCAGCTCTCTGGTTATTTTTAATTGTCTTGGCCCGCGGGCTCTTCAACCAAGAACAGGCGGTGAATTTGGGTGACCCACCTTGCTTCCAACACAAAAATATCTGCCCACCTTGCGTGCTGGCGCCACCATCCCCATCGAGATTGCGGGCCATGGAGCTGGTGGCGGGGGCGATGGGGAGCCTGCTCCCCAAGCTGGGCGAGCTGCTCAAGGAGGAGTACGGCCTGCAAAAGGGCGTGAAGAAGAAGATCGAGTCTCTCTCACGGGAGCTCACGGTGGTGCACGCCGTCCTCCGCAAGATCGGCGATGTTCCACCGGACCAGCTCGACGAGCTGGTCAGGCTCTGGGCGAGTGAAGTCAGGGAGGCATCCTACGATATGGAAGACATCGTAGACACATTCCTGGTGCGCGTTGAAGACCCTAATGAGGCTACTGAGCCACACATGCTCCGGCGCCTCCGGAAAAAGGTGGGCAGGCTGTTCAAGAAGAGCAAGGCTCGCCACAAAATCTCTAGCCTAATAGATGACATTAATGAGAAGCTTGAGGAGGTGGCAACAAGGAGAGGCAGGTACACACTTGACCGCATTGTCGCCAGCCCTATAGCTGCAAACACCATCGACCCTCGCATCCTGAATCTATACAAAAGGGCAACCGAGCTTGTTGGCATTGAGGGACCAAGGGACGAGCTCATAAATATGCTGTCCCTAGGAGATGGCGACGTGGATCTGTCTAGTACTACAAAGATGAAGATCCTCTCTGTCGTTGGATTTGGAGGGCTAGGCAAGACCACTCTAGCCAAAGCTGTCTATGACCACCTCAAACCGCGCTTCTAGTGCCGGGCTTTTGTTCCAGTCGGTCAGAATCCTGACATCAAGAAAGTCTTTGGAGACATTCTCCTAGCCCTTGATGAGCAAACTTACACTCGTCCCAAATTAATGGGTTTGGATGAAAAATCAGCTCATGGGCAAACTCAACGAATTCGTCAAGGAAAAGAGGTACGAGCTAATATGATCACCGATTCATTAATCATTGCTACTCATCACTGGCTCACTGCTAAAAAATAATTATAGCCGCTTTTAGATTATGTAGCTGCACAATTATTGGTTATGTATATCTTATTTATTTTAATAAAGGAAAGTGATGAAAGGAACATAACAAAATGGTGATATACAAATAAAAAAACTATAAATGATGTCTCGTATATTTATTTACCATTTCTTGTACTGTCTTGTGAATATGTAGGTGTTTGATTGTTATTGATGATATATGGGACAAGAAGACCTGGAAATTAGTCAGATGTGCTCTGCAAGAAAGTAATTGTGGAAGTAGACTTGTGATCACTACACGCATTTCTGAAGTTGCCGCATATGCTGATGAATCTTACAAAATACAACAACTTTCTCATGATAACTCTGAAAAATTATTGTACGCAAGAATAGTTGACGGTGAAGGGAAGTATTTCGATAGTCTTTCGGCTGAGACATGTGAAAGAATTTTGAAGAAATGTGACGGCGTGCCACTTGCTATCATTACAATAGCCAGTTTGTTGGCTAGTAAACCAGGAGAGGACTGGTCTGAGGTCTACAATTCAATTGGTTTTGGGCATAAAGGCAATGATGACGTAGATAATACCAGAAGGATATTGTCTTTTAGCTACTATGATCTGCCTTCACAGCTGAAGGCTTGCTTATTGTATCTAAGCGTATTTCTGGAAGATAGTATCATAGAGAAAAATAGTTTGATATGGATGTGGATAGCTGAAGGTTTTATCTCTGAGGAACAAGCAGCAGCAGCAGGGGTAGGATTATTTGAGCTCGGGGAGAGGTACTTTAATGAATTGATAAATAGAAACATGATCCAGGCACAGGAGAGAAGACATGAAGCTAGGGTACGTTGATGCCTGCTCGGTTCATGATATGGTTCTTGATCTGATACATGAATTGTCAAGTGAAGTAAATTTTGTCACTGTATTGAATGGTTGTGAGCGACAGAAACTTCAGCGGAGCATTTCTCGCAGGTTAGCCCTACAGTGTGTTGAAGAGCACAGCGTTAGTCAGCTGGCTAATGTAGCTATGGAGAAAGTGAGATCCATCTTTGCCAGTGGGTGCAATTTTTGTGCATTATGTCCACGCCTCCCTTATTTACGTGTAGTAGAGATGGTAGGATGTTCTGTTTCCATAGACTGCGGCAAAGATATGTTGGATCATCTTGGGAGTTTACTTCACTTGAGGTACTTCAGACTAGAGAAAATCTTTATCACTGAGCTTCCTAGGGAGGTAAGATATCTGAGGTTTCTGCAAACACTGGATTTACGGAACAGCTGGATAGAGGAGCTGCCCGAGGAGGTGGGACTTCTGACGCAACTTGTTTGCCTACGATGTAGTTACGAGACAAGAGTGCCGGCTGGTTTGATCGGTAAGCTGACATCATTGCAAGAGTTGTGTGTATGGTGTGAAAAGGATGATACATTGCAGTTTGTGAATCAGCTAGGTCTGCTGAGGGAACTGAGGGTGCTCCAGGCTAATATTCGTGCTAGGATCAGTGAGAGCATCGGGAGTGCTTTGCTGGACTCCCTGGGCTATCTGCACAATATCCAGGAACTTCAGATTTCGGGCATATGTACAGGTAAGGACTGGCACTGGCAGAGCGTCAATGCTGGATCGGTCTCCTGTCGGCATCTCTGTTTCCTTCATTTGGATCGCTTGGTGTTCTCTGCACTGCCGGCGTGGATTAACTCGTCGCTTGCTCCAAACCTATGCTATCTGGATCTGCTTGTGGTAGCTGTGGAAGACCAGGACATGGAAACCCTTGCCAAGTTGCCAGAGCTTAGTTGCCTCATACTGCATTTGACTGGCACCAAATTAGTGAGCATAAAGCTTCGTGCTGAAGGTGTTGGCTACTTCCGCAAGTTGAGATTCTTAAAGACTCGGTTCATTTATCAGGTTTGATGTGCACGGCAGCGAGTGCAACAGCAGCAGGGTACCATCTAATAATACTATCATGCCAGGTCTTGAATCCCTTGAGTTTGGTGTCCATGTGCGGTCCCTAAAAGACGAGAACCTGCAGCTTGGTTTTGACAAGATGCTTGGCTTCCAGAACCTCGGAACAAGTTCGCTCCAGCGAGTCAAAGCCGAAGTGAACTGTGAAGGTGCCAGTATTTGGGATGTGGAGGAAGCAGATGCTGCATTGGAGCACGCGGCCGCAGTCCATCCAAAACATCCCACCCTTCTAACCAACAGGGTATACCCACAATGTATGAAGCCACGCTACCAAGAGGTATGATGAACTGATCATGCATGCACATTTGAACTTGCTTTCAAAATTCAAATGCTACTGGCTCTGATTTACTATTGCTAGCTTCCTATCTATCTTGCCTTTCTATCTGTATAATGGTCACAATAAAATGTTTATCTGATACATCGTCTCCTTTGAATTATTATTAGTCCTAGCTCAATCGGGTTCTCCTACACAGTATTCCGGGCAAGGGCAACATAGATTATCTAAATAAATAGTTACTCCGTATTAAGTAAGGGTGGGTGGGCCGTGATAGTTAACGTAAAAATATCCTGATTGCCTTGTTCTCGCTTGCATGCATGTAGGGCCTGTTTGTTTTTGGCTCAGATTCATTCTGAACACCAGCGGCTGGATCTGCTGCCTATAGCTCAGATTCCGATCCAAACACGCAGGATTGCAGTGGCCATGCATGCATGTCACCGAGTTGGCCGTGTTGTCTCACAAATGCCATAGTCTGCCAACCGGTTGGCCGTGTTTGTGTGGCTCAAGGCAGATTCATTCATAACATTATGAATTGGTGTCTAACTACTGAAGGAACGTATTTAGAAATGCAAGGAAAAGCACTCAGTTTTGGAATGTGTATGTTGTACATGTTTCTATGATGATGACAGGGAATTCATGAGTGGCCAGCCGAGTGTGCACGTGCTTTTTTTTCTTTTTCCTCGCAGTTCAATATATTTGTATTTAATTGATAACCGTATCGAACAAATGGTAGGCATGTATGGAAATGAGCAAAGCCCCTGAGTTAGTAACCAAGGCCTGGAAGTTGGCGGACATCGTTGGCTCAGGACAAATTCAAATACTGCGTATGCCAGATCCGACCGCATCTTCAAGCAAAGTATGTTCAGCAACGTTTGCATGTACATCTTCCATTTAAATTAATGCAAGGAATATCACACATCAATATCTGTTCGTGTGCTTATGATTTTCATGACATAGCACACACCGAACAATTCGGTAGAATTTAAGACTGTTATGGTCCTATTCAGAGCAGTATATAATTCTGATATATAAGCATAGTGTTTTATTTGTTTTCTTTGTAGGTTATGCGCTTGTTGTACACAGATAATGGGCTGGCACTTTTGGCTCTCAGCTCCAATGCTGTTCATAAGCTGTGGAAATGGGAGCACAGGGACAAGAATCCATGTGGCAAGGTTAGATAGGACCACTAACTTAAGATTTCAACACTGTAGTTCTATTTGTTGTTTTCTAAAAACCATCCATCATTACTTTTCGTGAGTCATCCAAATCTGTTCCACCTGTACTATGGCAACCGGAAAATGGCATTCCAATGACAAACGACACCATTGATGGCAGTGACCCTAAAGAAGCTACATCCTGCACTTCACTATCCAAAAATGACCGCTATCTAATTTCTGCTTCTAGTGGCAAAGTCTCATTGTTCAACATGATGACATTCAAGGTATGTCTTCTTCAGTTGTCTATAACAATAAGTAGTTAATTCCATGTTTGATCTCTTACAAATCATACATGACAACTTCCGTAAAATAATTTTTATTTTATAGTTGCACCATGGCCTTTCTTTGGCTTCACTGATCTTGTGCAATATCTCATATATAGGTCATGACTACTTTCATGGCACCTCCACCTGCTGCAACTTTCCTTGCATTCTACCCGTTAGACAATAACATCATAGCTATTGGAAGGGAGGACTCTTCAATTCAAATCTACAATTTCCGTAAAGACAAAGTGAGTATTAAACTTGAATCTATCATCCCCTGTTTCCATGAATCTCAGAGTATTGGCAAAACTCATTATATATGGTTCTCACTAGAAATGCAGTAATGTACCCCATTGTAAAATAATGTGCTCTCGTTTCAGACTATATATCCCCTCATGTTTTACTTATGTATTAGGATCATGAGATTGTAAATGTTGTTTTACATATGATCTTTTTGACATAACAAATTATGTACTTTTTTCGGGCTTTGAGCAGATACCACAAGGTACACATATTACATAGCAACTTTGTGGTAGCTCCCGTCAACAATATGAATAGTAAGTACCTCGTGGTATATGACTCAAAAAAACTTCATAAACCATACATATGTTGTTAGCTCGACATTTAAAAATATGAGAATTTTTAACGATAATGGATTCTTCCTATGTGGAACATTATGCTTAGTGTACTAATTACTGTTTAGTTTATATTTAACATCGACGTGCCAAAATATCAACTTATCTTAATCGAATTGCACATGTTAAAATTGTGCTCATGGGTCATCACAAAAAGATAACTGGACTAGCATTTTCACAATCAATGGAGGTGCTTGTATCTTCAGGTGCTGATGTTCAGAAGTGAGAGGACTCGAGAGAATAGATCGATCCCTCCAGACCATAGAGAGTGTTTCCTTTTTTCCGTCCGCTAGAATGAAGGCTCGGTTCCCTTATGCTTCCGGGCGGAGTGACAATTGAAAGGAACGGGTTCCCACGACCCGAGTGGTCGAGAGCTCGAAGGGAGGGTGGCGGTAGGCAAGCCCGGTCCGTGTGCCCTCTGCATCTTGTCCTAGCTTCTATTGCATGCTCGGATGTCGTCATGGGTTCCTGTTCTCCATGTCGAGGTATGGTGCGCCATAGCGGCACAGTGCGGGTCGCGGCTGGTATGGTGCGCCATAGCGGCATAGTGCGGGTCGTGGCTGTCCTCTTGTAGTCCTATGGGACGTGGGCGCATAGTGCGAGTCGTGGCCTTCGTCCTTGCGTCTACTGCCCTCAGGGGGCGTCGTGCGCTAGTTTGAGTCTATGGCTGTCGTCCTCTGCTGACCGGCCGCCCTCCTGATCATGAAGGGGGCGGCGAGGCTTCATCCCACACACGGGTGGTCGGGGGTCAACTTGTTTGTCCGGTTCCAAGGAGTCAATTCCCTAGACGTGAGACCCATGCTCTGTGGCGAGCGTGGCCGTACACCTACCCGTCGAGTCATACAGTGTTTGAGCGGTCCCGTGCCATATCCTGACATTGCCTGGCCATGGAGTGGCCTTTTGAATTGGTGGGGGGAGCAGTCCGAGGGGTGATGCCTCACCCCAAGACCCTACGGTCCGAAGGGTGGTCGATGCATCCTAAGGCCCCACGGTTCCCCACGGTCCGTACTGGATCAGGCCGCAGAACGCGACTTTCGCGCCGCCGAGGTTGGAGCGCACGACGTCCATGTAGGTGTAGTTGCGCTTCCCCATCTCCGGGTCGCCCGTGCAGTAGCACTCGGCGAGCAGCGTGGCCGTGTAGTAGGTGGCGAAGGTGAAGAGCAGCATGGCAGCCGGGCCGCCACCCACCGAGTTAAGGCGCGATGGATGCGCCGTGAAAGCACCCGGAGCCGATGGACGGCGGTGATGATGCGCGTGCTAGCCGTCTAGAACGTGCTTGCGCTACCGGGCTGGCCATCGTCATCGACCCACGCGGCCTCCCGCCATTCCCGGCCTCCACGGTGACCTCCATCGGCACCACGCGGTTGGTGCCTTCGTGTGCCGCCATGGATCAGCCCAACCGGTCGAGCTCCCTCTCTCGAGCGTGAGGGCGAGGAGGCGCGCATCTCCCTCGAGTGCACGCACCCCCTATGCGCGATCGGGAGGTCAAGTCCGGCGACTACGAGCCGCATCGGCGCCCACGGTGGACGTCGGTGAGCTCTCACGCGGACGAGGAGAGGCACTTCACGCTCTTCGTGGATGTCCGTGGTGGGCCTACTCCATCGATGAGGTGGCCGCGCTGTTCAAAGTCGGTGCACCTACCTTGACACCGCGATCAGGCGGTCGGTTGACATGGCGGCGAGGGCGCCGTGGTCTGCGGCCATTGGAGGCGGCGGAAGTGGTACTTCGTCCATGGAGGTCGGCGGGGGAGCGTGTCTGCGCGTGGAGGCGGCGGAGGACATGGCTCTGGGTGCACCCTACCGACACCACCGACCGGGCGGTCGGTTGACATGGCGGCGAGGACGCCGTGGTCCTGCGGCCATTGGGCGGGCGAAGTGGCGCCATCCATGGAAGTCGAGCAGTGTGTGTGCATGGAGGCGGCGGAGGACAAGGCTCGCGGCGGGCGCGGCCGGCCGCGGCACCTACGCCGAGGGCGCGCACATCCTCGGCGCCCGCCGGGATGTCTTTGAGCCGGTCGACGCCATGCCGGTGCTATCCGCGACCCGTTGTGCAAGGCGCTGGTGAGCGAGCTGCCGCGAGCTGAGCAGTAGCGTGTCCGACAAGAGGGAGTACTGGGAGAGGGGCCGGGCATGCTTCCTTGCCGGCATGAGGTCGCAGGCGCGTGCTCTCTCGCCAAATCCAACCTGGACGCCATGTTGGACAGCCACGTCGGTTAAAAAATTGAAACAAAGGGGTATGGGTCAGGAGTGCGCCACTAACAAAGATTATGGACCCAAAAACCCACTTTCAGAGTTGACTGCGGGTTGACTGCGGCGGCACTATGGATGGCTCACCGGAGCTCCCGGTTTTCGATCTATAGTCCACAACGGCGCAAGGCAAGGACATCAAGAGAGAGAGAAGGAGAGGGCGAACTTACCAAGGCCACAAATGGAGGCGGAAACAGGCCGACGATGACGCACCGCGCGGGACGGCGGACGGCTGGCCGGTGGCTAGGGCTTTGCGATGGCGCAGCGATTTGGCGAGGGTGAAAACTTGCACCAAGACGAGATAGAGAGGCGGCGCGGGCTCGGGCTGCTATTTAAGGGCGCGGGGACTTGAGCGGCACGACACCGAGGCGTGGCAGGGACGGACACGACGGCGTTGGCTGAGATAGTGTCCGAGGTGGACACGGCGCGAGGAAGGAGGTGCGCTTGATGGCTGGGCCCGGCACGTCAGCGGGTAGGAGGGAGAATGCGCGGCGCGACGCAGACTTGGGCCGGGCGCGCGCTGTTGGGCCGCTGCGGGAAGGGAAGCGAGGGACGCGAGCGGGCCGGTGCTAAAACGGAAACGGCCGTCCTGCTGGCTTCGGCCCGAGCGGGGAGGAGAGGGGAGAAGGCCAGCCAGTTGGACCAGCAGCCAGTGAAAGAGAAAGGGGAGGGGGCTGGGCCAGTGAGGGAACAAGGCCGAGCGGGCGAGAAATGAGAGAGGGAGAAAGAGAGGAGTAAATTCCTTTTTTTTCTTTTTCTTAAACATATTTCCAAAGCAAATTCAAAATGCAAATTCAAATCGATTTAGAATCCGACTTCAAACCAAGCAATACAAAATGATATCCAAAAAAAGAACACTAAGAAAAGGTCAATCTCAGAGAATGCTGACTGTCACGTGTTTCAAATGGGGTAGTTCCTTTTATACGACAGTAGGTGTTCCCTGTTTTCGTTCAAAAGAAATGGGAAAAAGGCCTTTTCAAGTGCTTCACCATTCACACGTCCTTTCCTTCCTCAATGCAAATAATATTAGTAATGAATATACAACAACGATGTATCTGTTTCCTGAAAGACCCCACTGTGAAAATCAGACCCACTGATATCAGCTAGACATTTAAAGATCTTGGAATTCTTAGTGATAATTGATTCGTCCTATATGGAGTCTCATGCTTAATGTACAGGCTACCATCCATTTTATGTTTAACATTGACATGCCAAAATATATATACTGATTTATTTATTCGAATTGCAAAGGTTCAAAATGTGCTCAGGGGACATCAGAAAAAGATAACTGGATTGACATTCTCACAATTAATGAATGTGCTTGTATCTTCAGGAGCTGATGCTCATGTGTGAATTCTAGTATTTCGCACAGATTCTTTGAGTGCCAATTTGTTGTCGTTTTTAAAAAAAGGATGCCCAGTTAAATATAAACTCAACGCATGTGAGCAACTGAGCACACCTTCAACCTCCATATTATATTAGTCCCATTATTCGAGGCCACTGTCAGTTCATTTTCCAAAAGATAGCTTTCAAAAAAAATTCCAAAAGATAAAAATGTTAAAAATAAAGTCCTATTGCACAGAAACTATGTATATTATACTTGTTTGTTTCTGAATTATTGGGTTCTTTATGGATTGAAATGAATTTGCAGCTATGTATTTGGAACATGGACGGCTGGGAGAAGAAGAAATCCAGATATATCGAACCTCCATCTAATCGTCCTGGAGTTTTAGTTGGTGACATATCGGTGCAGTTTCATTATAACCAAACACATATTTTAGTAGTTCATGAGACCCAGTTGGTGATATATGATTGGCAGCTAGAATGCTTGTGCTCAGTATGCCGTTCACGAAATTTTCATAAAAATGCATTTGCATCTACTACATGCATCATTCCAATTCTAGCAGCGTGATAATTTTTTTATGCTCCTAATTTTAACAATGCATTGTAATCGACATACTGATATTGTAAATTTCAAAAATTGAGAACTTCGAACATCATTTTGAGATAGTAAGTGATTTCAAATGGAAAAGTCATCAACAACAAAGTTATAGAACTCATTGAGGTCTACAATATTTGTTTTTGGTCATTTCACCATCCGACTTTATTTTAACAATTCGAAATTTGAATTTTTAAAATATAAAAACTTTGAACAGAATTTTGGTATAGTAATTGATTTCAAATGAAAAGTCGTCAACAACAAAGTTGTAGAACTCATCGAGATATACAACTTTGGTTTTGAATCATTCTACATCGAAGTTAGTTTGAGTAATTCGTAATTTCAATTTCAAAATTTTAGAACTTCAAACAGAATTTTGAGATAGTAAATGATTTTAAATGGAAACATCACTAACAGCAAAGTCGTAG